TTTTATATAAGGCAGATATATATATATATATATATATATATATATATATATATATCATATCCATATATGATACATATATGGATACTTTTAAATTGTTTATTTCAGGAACATTTTTTATATTTGGAGCATGGTGGCTCATGGTAAAGGAGAAGGGCTGGAGAAATGGCTCAGTGGTTAAGAGCCCTGGTTGCTCTTCCAGAGACCCAGGTTTGATTCCCAGTACCCACATGGTGGCTAATAACAGTCTATAATCACTTCATAGAGGATCTGACATCCTCCTCTGTCCTCTGCAGACACCAGCTATACACATGGGACACAGACATACATATGGGCAAAACACGCATACACAAAAAATAAAAACAAAACTTTTAATTTAGCAGGAGAATAATGCTCAGAGTCCCAGTACATAATGACAAGGAATTGGTGGTTATTCATTAGTCCATCTCTTCAGGTCTCTGGAAATACCTTATTTACTTACTGAACTATTGCACACAGACCTCCTTACACAAGGTCTCAGTTGTGTAAGGAGCCAACCATGCTCCAAACATATAAAATGAAAAAGTCCAGAAATAAACAATTTATAAATTTAAACCTCAGGCAGTCCAGTTCCATTCACTGGAGACCTGACTCTTCCTCCTGTCTGGCAATATCCACCCAATACACAGTGTGCCCATTGGTCATTAAGTAGTCTCAATGACCAGAGAGCCACTCAAGGCACCGCAGGGGTTGTTTTTCAAGTGATCATTATTCTTTTTAATAATTTTACTGAGGCACATGCTGGCATTTGGGATATGCCAAAGAAACACTGTAAGTGAAAGTTTGTGGCATGTACTATCCATAGCTACAGACACCTACTGTGTGGCTAGGACCAGATCCACTGCAGGGAAGGGACTAACTGCCCAAATTTTCTATCTTTTCTGTTTGTTTCTCAGCATCCACCACAGGCTTTTTGTTGGCTCATTTTTAACTTAGAAGTGCCTAGAGCAGTGTGTACTCAGTGGTGTGATGTGTGTGTGTGTGTGTGTGTGTGTGTGTGTGGGAGAGAGAGAGAGAGAGAGAGAGAGAGAGGTTGACCCTGGGTTCTTGACACATCATAGTTGATGCAGCGTGCCTCAGCAGTTAAGAGCACTGGCAGCTCTTCCAGTTCTAGAGGTCCTGAGTTCAATTCCCAGCAACCACATGGTGGCTCACAACCATCCGTAATGAGATCTGGTGCCCTCTTTGGCCTGTAGGCATACATGCAGACAGAACACTGTATACATAATGAATAAATCTTAAAAAAAAAAAAAGATGAGGCAGCAATCACAAACTTTGAGACCATGAGTGGTTCCTCAGCCAGGGCTCCATTCTCTAGTGTTTTTCCAGCTGCATACCCAACAGGGCCAGGTGTGATGACTCATCCAGAAATCTCAGCGCTCAGCAAACTGAGGCAGGGAATTGACACAAATTGCAGGCCAGATGGGGTTACATAGTAAGCTCTAGACTAGCCTGAGCTACAGTGTAAGACCCTGTCTTGAGAGTAATTCAAAACCAACACACACACACACACACACACACACACACAGAGAGAGAGAGAGAGAGAGAGAGAGAGAGAGAGAGAGAGAGAGAGAGAGAGACAGA